ATTGCTCATATTGAGTCTCTCAGTTGGGCTCAATCTACCCTTAACTTTCATGCACGCTAGAGACTGAAGTGAACAATTGAAAAAGAGCGATCGTTGCCTTCAGATCGAGGTGGCAGTGATGATCGCCTTCTCGTTAGTGAAAGATGCAGCGCGAAAGCGACATTTTGTACGGCTCTATGATAAGGGTCAAACAGATACATTCAAATTAATAGTGATGCAATTACTCGGGCCAAGCATTGAAGATTTAAGAAGGCACATACTTTGTGCTGATTTCACGTTAGTCTTTTATAAACGCTTTTGTCGAAACTTCAATTCGTATCATTTCTTAGCAAACTTCTTGAATAGAATATATCTTCTTGAAGTTGATTATGAATTAACGATTTGACAGATGGTTTTGCTGGCGGACTGAAGACATCGAAGAAGTAGGTATTTCATGCGAAATATTCCTTTGATGTCAAACTCTCTGGAATGTTTGTTGGCGTTTTCAATTGATTGGTCTCGTCAAGTGAGAATTTTAAAGGAAAGCCACAGCAATGCGAATCAGTCAACAAACATTACAAGGAATTTGGGATTTGCATTTAACTGGATTCATTCATCGCGATATTAAACCGCAAAATTTCGCAATTGGAACTGGTGATAAAGATGATGTTATATATATTCTTGATTTGGGTATTGCGCATCGTTTCATCGACAAATACACCAATAAAATCAAGTGAGGCTGTGTTCCAGTTTATCAATGCTATTCCGTTGCTTCATTTATTCAACTTTAGCGATTCTCTTTCAAATTGAACACGAACGATCGAATTCCTCTATGATCACAAAACTTATTTGATCGGTAATTTCAATTGTTCGTAGAAGTCATTGTGACTAATTTGATGTATTTAAATGAACATCATGAGGTTGTATACATCCATTTAGATCCCCCAGGACGAAAGTTCGTTTCATGGGAACTGTACGATATGCGTCAAGGAATTGTCATCGATGCAAAGAACAATCTCGGAAGGTGTTTACTGAGAATTTAATTTCAATATGCGAATTTTTTCAAGAGGATCATCTCACTCAGCTTTATATTGATTTCATAGATTACGCTGAGGGATTTCGTTCATCTGACGTCTAATAGATTTTACCAAGTTCGCACTGTACTCGAGTTGTCTTGTGATTTACTCGAAACTAACCGCAAATTACTGATTGGGTTGTTGAACGCGATTGTTTGCGTTCGGATGACATAAATTCGGCATTTGAGGATGATCTCGAGACGTGGATATTTATGAGCGTTGAACTGTATGCAGCAACAATATTACCATGGAGACGAGTGGTTGATAAAGTCACTGTGCTTGCTGAAAAAGAAAAATTCTTCACTGAACCAAGTGAATTGTTGATTTTATTGCAATTAGTAACCACTCATCAGTTCTCTCAGCTTGAAAACCCTACAGAGAATGATGTTAAAATAATGTGATGTTAAGGTCCGGATATTTACAAAAAAGCACCAATGGGTTATGGGAGTATATCAAAATATGTTGACAACTTGACGTATGAAGAAGAACCGAATTATACGCTTATTCAGGTTTGTCTTACATTCTTGTGCTCACTTCCCCAATGTTGATATTCAAAATCGTTGCGAATTCAATCGTGAACTTTCGATTCAAACTGACAAAAAATTGTTTGAATTTCAGTCAGCATTAGACGAAATAATCAAAAGTGAATGCATTGATATAAGGCAGCCGTTTGATTGGGAAGGGAAAGTGTTGGAGAAGACGGAACGTGAAAATAGAAGACGAGTAGTGAAAGAAAAAGAGAACCTTGATCGGAGGAAATTCGAATCCAGAGTCTCCAAAGATGTTCGTTTCTTCCNACATATTAAGAACTGGAGAGGCTGCATTGACCCGCATGTACGTCTCGTATTCGACTCCTTCAGTGTGACCGTACTTCCCCCTTTCATCTGGCATCAGTTGCTTACAGAAGTCATTGCAGGCTCATTGATCAGTAAATGCTAAATTATTTTAACAGTTTTGAAATCATCGTTTGAAAACGATTTCATCAATTTTTACGTCATCTTCTCCATTTTTCATTTTTATTCATCTTTCAATATTCATTATGTATTGCGGTGTTATGATGTTGTATTAGCGAGGTCTCATAAGACATCCTGAACAAATTTGCTTCTCAAATTCTGGGTTCCCAAATAAACCTATCAATCTGGACGAAAATATGTCAGTCAGCTTGAATGTTTCTGCAAACGGGAATGATCTCTTATTGTTCATTGAATGTTCAACGGGATCCATTCTGCTGCGTTTTTGAGTATCTCATCTCCAGTTGTCATGAATAATTTCGAAAATTTTGGAAAACTTTCAGTCATCGGCGAATATTGCGTTCAATCGTGACAATGATGGTCTCATTCTTAGTCAGTATTTATGAAAGTCAACCAAAAATATGGTATATTTCAATATCGACTCGATGTATTCAAGGCCGTCAACAACGTCAACAGTCATTATTAATATTATGTTTGATCTACTCAAAATTTGCAATAGTTTATTCGTTTCGTTTCAACAAGTTTCATTAATAAATCATTTTCACATACTAAACAATTCAAGCAGTGATATGCAAACGTGCACACGTTCATTTTGTATTCGTAAGGATTGTATTCTATTCGCTCTCCTTTGCAAAGACTTTGATTGTGAAGTGGG